AATTCTTCATCCTGTGCTTTTATGCTTCCCACCTTCTGGGAACAATTTGCGTACAGCCTTACAAACTGGATGAATGGACAAAAAGTCAAAAAGAGATACGTCAAAAGAATCCCAGAAGAAGAATGTAGCTGAAACGATGTGGCCAACTCCCATGTTTTCTTGTAGTTTCACTTCCTGTAGGACCAGTTTTAAAATGAAACATTTAAAATTGCACTGAAATAAATTGCCTTCCGAACCAGACAACTCTGACCACCTGCACAATGCCTTTTAGCTTCTCTATTGCTTCAAATCAGTCTCAAATGCTGATTGATTCCATGGACTAAAGTTCGCACCTGGTATCCTTTCTCCGTTTACAACCAATCTCCATTATGAGTCAGTCCTCCTGCAAGAGGTCATTTTCTTTCATCTCTCTCTCTCTCTCATAACATTTTCCCACCCGACCCAGTAATTTCTTGATACACTCCACAGTCTGAAACTCAACCAGCTTTGCTTTATATTCCCTCTGCCTTTTGTCTGAATGACCATTGTTTGGGCAACGTTCCTTTTTTTTTTTTTTTGTATTTGTTCTCCAGAGAGCCTTGGGTGTGCTGAGCACCGTCCTCCCTCAGTCCTCCGAGGCTGTTACTCATGTTGTTCAGCGAGATGTGGTGAAGACGGTGCTGCGACAGCTCAAGGTGCCCAATTGTAGACACAACCAGAGTCGGTCGGTCTCGCGGTATTGATGTCTGAAATTGAACATATTGCTTTTAAATACAGACAAGCAAGTTCAATTTATAGTACAGTAAAAGGAATGCAGTGGAACACATTTTTTACTTGACTTTTGTTTTGAAGGATTATAGACCGAGGCCACTGGGGTAAAAATAACTAACCGACATCGGCGATGGGGTTGGAAATTTGATCAATTGAACCCTGCACCTCTGCACTGTGAGGCAGACGTACTAACCAGTCGACTACCGTGCCGCCCATGATGAATTCATTTGCGCCCCGAAAAATTGAAAAATATCAAGTAAAACTAAGCCTGCATGTCTTTTTTTTGTATTGTTATTTTTTGTTGCGCTACGTGATCGCCCGATAGTACAGCGCTTCTCATTGGTCAGGACGGATATCGTCCTCTCAATTGCCTCTATCATTGACTACGCAATCAAAACAAAACAAAACAGGATATTGTAAAATATTGTGCACTTTTCCAGCGTGTGAAAAGCCACGGGAGTAAAGTTATATTTCTTCCATTATTTTCATCAAGGTTTGACTCCGACAGGGCCCACGGACTGTCAGGGTTGAACACTTGGGCAGCGAAAACAACCATCACTGTTGTCATTAATGGATGCGTGATTTGTATTTGTTTAATTAAAGACAGTGGCTTTTTTGACCAGTGATATTTTTATATGACTTGCCTTTGCTCAAATCAGGCAATCTCACCACTATTTCCTGTTTTGGTGTTCTTGGGCCCTCTGGGTTACTTTTATTCAGTTCAAAAGCATGTCTCTCAATTCAGTATTTGTCCAATAATGTGTGTTTTTTTTTTTTTTTTTTTTTGACTGGCTGCCAGCAAGCAGACTTGGCTGCCACTAAGTATGCTCTCAAGATTCTGACGGTGTGCACGGCGGCCAGCCAGTTGGCCCGCGAGGTGCTGGTGAAGTCTGACAAAAGTAAGAAATGATTGACAGAATCTCCATACTTTTCACAAGCACTCAATATATTTTAGGCTTTACCGAATATGGAAAATACAATTCTCTTCCAATTTGCTCTTCGTTGATTATTCGCCACAGAGCTGTCTGTTCTCCGGCGTTTGCTGAGCTCCAGCTCGGATGAGATGGTGACAGGAAATGCTGCCCTGTGTCTGGCCCATTGCCTGGAATTGAAGGGTATTGCAAGCAACCTGCTTGGCACTGATATTGTGCTTGAGTTGCTTCGCCATGCTGCCGGAGACGCGAAGAGGACAGCCGTGCAGCAAAATGCGGCCGTTGCACTGGGGAAGCTGTGTCAATCCGAGCCCAGGTGCGCCCTGACATCACTCGCCAAGCACATGTTGGTTTATTATCGGATACAACCGGGTCTGCAGCAGCATTACATGACAAGATCTCAACCGGATAATGGTTTTCCAACATTTCTCAGCTCAAAAGTTAGAAATATAATTCCTCTCCAGCGCACTTATTTACCAATCGACATCATGGATTGACTTAACATTGACATGACCTTTCCATAAACTAATGAAAAAGGAGGCAAAAAAAACAAACGGCCTTTGCTAAGAAATCTATTTTTTTGTTTGTTTTTTTGTTCGTCTGACCCATAATGTGTTTTGGGCACGTCATAACGCCCTCTATAGGTTACTCGCCACTGATGTTCACCTTGCTTCAGTTTGTGCCAGTCTGTAACTTTGAGAGAGGAGGAGAGAAAGAACAAAGCATAAAGAAATTCCAAACTCAATTTAACACCGAATACAGCTGCTTGTTATATTCAGTCCACAGCAGACCGTGTCAGTAACTCTCATTGACAATTATTTTCCTCGCCGATGAGACTCGATGTTGTGTAAAATCAAATTCAAGCACATGCTGGAAGCGATCGCCCTGCAGCGACACCTTAAAAAGTGTCTCTTTGTTTTAACGCCCCCACCCCCGACCAAATATCTTGACCTTTATTCATAAAAGCACACACCTTGTCACCATTCTAATTTTATTTTTCAGGCATGTGAACAAACTCCGGGAGCTACACGGCTTTGAGATCCTGCACTCCTGTATGAAGCTCATTAAATAAGGACATGAAAATGGTCATTTGATTTATTTATTTATTTATTTATTGGTACGACTTTTGAACCCTGTTCTTGACTGGCCTTGTTTTTCAAGGCCATGTGGAATGTAGCCTCATTAGCATAGAGATGCAGCGACGGTGGGGCCACTTCAGTCAGCTTTGCCATATTAGAGGTGATGAATACATCCCAAAATCACATTCCGTTATTAATGATGGTGGCTTTGATACATGAATTCCGAAAGACATTTGTCCCAAATACTTCAGCAGCCTAGCAACATGAATGAATGATACTCGCTAAGCTAAAGTAACACCCAGTCTGAATAATATGCCCCTTCCCTTAAAACGCTTAAATATATTTATTTAAAAAAAAAATATTGTGGTTATCTTTAATATTCTGTGGATGATCTATCGTTTTGACAGTTATGTCCAATCTATATTATGAATTATTGATTCCTTGGCTGCTTTTTATTCCTGTATTTGAGTGGCGTAGATGTCAAATGTATTTAAATGATACAAGTGCATTGAAAAGTGAGGACTTCGTTAAGAACAGGCTGAAAAAAAAAAACGTATCGGCTCAGATTGAAAAGGGAACTATTTAAATAGTGAACAAACCCTCAGGGGGAAGGTCAGAGCTAGAACTTGGAAAAAATGATGTTTGCACACCCTACTATGTGTTTGGACAACTGTTCTGTGGATAAATATGAGCATTTTTTTCCCCTTCCTCTTAACGGGGACATTGCGAACATCAGATGAATATGTTGGATGTGGAATGAGGTCGTCCTGTAGCAATATCTGTAAAACACGTTATTTTGGAAAAATGAAAACGGGGGAAAACATTTTTCCTATTTGTTCAATTATTTGTATTCTATTTAGTTCATTTTTAAGGTAACCTAACAGATGCAATTTGATTTATCCTTTTTATATTTAACCAATGTAGCGTATCGTGATGCCCCGGACCAGCCTGTAAATACATCGTCCGTTCGGGGAAAAATGAACATATTTGCCCCAAATTCCTCATGGCCTCTTCGCCTCAATTCACAAATTTACTCACTCAGTCTGAAATCTGGGTTTGTACGCTTGAACACGTAGCTGACATATTTGAAAGGAGCCATGGCTTACTTAATGTGATTCCTAATGTGTGGGTGTTGGAGTGTGTCTATTTGATTTTTTCGCCATTTATCCTGACGGACATTTGTGGGGTTTGAGTGAATCCCAAAGGCGGGTTTGAAAGTTAGTTCTTGGACACCGAATCCCTCATGCATGCTTTCATGGTACTGTACTTTCTTGGTGCTTTGTGGCAAATAAGTATCCACTTATGCAAAATGTTCTGGTAAAATGAACGGAGAAATATAAAATATTCAGCGTTGCAAAGGAGCGTATCCCAACCCCCTTATTACGTGAGGGGTTTAGAGATTTGCCCGAAGACATTTGTCCAGATAAAGGATTTTCTACATGAAAGTGTGAAACCCCTGATAGTAGCCTCTATTCTTTGACAGAATGTCATGACTTTCTTAATTTGATTCCTAATGTGTGGCTGTTGGAGTGTGTCTATTTGACTTTTTCGCCATTTATCCTGACGGACATTTGTGGGGTTTGAGTGAATCCCAAAGGCGGGTTTGAAAGTTAGTTCTTGGACACCGAATCCCTCATGCATGCTTTCATGGTACTGTACTTTCTTGGTGCTTTGTGGCAAATAAGTATCCACTTATGCAAAATGTTCTGGTAAAATGAACGGAGAAATATAAAATATTCAGCGTTGCAAAGGAGCGTATCCCAACCCCCTTATTACGTGAGGGGTTTAGAGATTTGCCCGAAGACATTTGTCCAGATAAAGGATTTTCTACATGAAAGTGTGAAACCCCTGATAGTAGCCTCTATTCTTCGACAGAAATATCTCTGATAATCACCCGAGTCCATAGTTCATACATGTGCAAAATGACCTTATTCATGTCCTGGTGTATGTGTCAGCATAATAATAGTTTCTTTTCCATTCACTACTGCGCAGCACATTGTGACCCAGAAAACTAATAATTCTTGATTTTAAAAAGGGGATAAGTTAGTTCTTGGACACCGAATCACTCATACATGTTTTCATGGTACTGTACTTTCTTGGTGCTTTGTGGCAAATAAGTATCGATTTATGCAAAATGTTCTGGTAAAATGAACAAAGAAATATAAAATATTCAGAGTTGCAAAGGAGCGTATCCCAACCCTTTATTATGTGAGGGGTTTGCCCGAAGACATTTGTCCAGATAAAGGATTTTCTACATGAAAGTGTCAAACCCCTGATAGTAGCCTCTATTCTTTGACAGAAATATCTCTGATAATCACCCGAGTCCATAGTTCATACATGTGCAAAATGACCTTATTCATGTCCTGGTGCATGTGTCAGCATAATAATAATTTCTTTTCCATTCACTACTGCGCAGCACATTATGGTCCAGAAAACTAATAATTCTTGATTTTAAAAAGGGGAGCTGTTGGGGAAAACAATAGGACCACTGAGAGAGGAAAACCGATATGGAGAAAATTGAAGCACAAAGACAAGGCAAACGATTTATGCAAAATGTTCTGGTAAAATGAACAAAGAAATATAAAATATTCAGAGTTGCAAAGGAGCGTATCCCAACCCTTTATTATGTGAGGGGTTTGCCCGAAGACATTTGTCCAGATAAAGGATTTTCTACATGAAAGTGTCAACCCCCTGATAGTAGCCTCTATTCTTTGACAGAAATATCTCTGATAATCACCCGAGTCCATAGTTCATACATGTGCAAAATGACCTTATTCATGTCCTGGTGCATGTGTCAGCATAATAATAATTTCTTTTCCATTCACTACTGCGCAGCACATTATGGTCCAGAAAACTAATAATTCTTGATTTTAAAAAGGGGAGCTGTTGGGGAAAACAATAGGACCACTGAGAGAGGAAATCCAATATGGAGAAAATTGAAGCACAAAGACAAGGCAAACCAGAAAAACAGAAAAGGCACCTGCGTGTGATTTATGACCTGAATGATTTCTCCAGGTGCCCGTGACTATAACTCAGGGGTGCCCAAACGTTTTTGGACCGAAGATCTACTTTTAGAGCAACTAACTTGAGCCGTTACCCGCCTGATGAGCAACAGCCATAACAGCCCCAAACACGAAGGAAACAAAAAGTCTGTACAAGAGTTTGTGAGTTTGTGAAAAGGAAATCACCGCCCCCCCACTTGCGACTCGTCGCGGGCTACCGGTCGATAGCGATCAACTGGTTGGGCAACCCTGCTCTAACTGATGGAAACACATGTGTCAGCATAATAATAATTTCTTTTCCATTCACTACTGCGCAGCACATTATGGTCCAGAAAACTAATAATTCTTGATTTTAAAAAGGGGAGCTGTTGGGGAAAACAATAGGACCACTGAGAGAGGAAATCCAATATGGAGAAAATTGAAGCACAAAGACAAGGCAAACCAGAAAAACAGAAAAGGCACCTGCGTGTGATTTATGACCTGAATGATTTCTCCAGGTGCCCGTGACTATAACTCAGGGGTGCCCAAACGTTTTTGGACCGAAGATCTACTTTTAGAGCAACTAACTTGAGCCGTTACCCGCCTGATGAGCAACAGCCATAACAGCCCCAAACACGAAGGAAACAAAAAGTTGATACAAGAGTTTGTGAAAAGGAAATCACTGCCCCCCCACTTGCGACTCGTCGCGGGCTACCGGTCGATAGCGATCAACTGGTTGGGCAACCCTGCTCTAACTGATGGAAACAAGACTGAATTCACTACTTTCACCGAATCTGTCTTATTAAAGTGCCATTATTACCAGAAAGCCCAAAGTAAGATGGATAAATAGTCTCCATATGCTAATCAGCCTCCATATGTTTTGGTGGTAAACTACTTTATGAACTGTGATTGGTTGTTGATCAGTTCAGAGTGTGCGCTGCTTCTTGCCCAAAGACAGCTGCGATTGACTGCGGCACGTACGAAGAATGGATGGATGGACTACCTAGACCATTGTGAATTACCTAATTTCTCTGGACAATTTCATTTACATGAAATACGGAAGAGCAGTAAATGGTCATCAAGGACAAGATTGTACTGTACAAGAGTTTGTGAGTTTGTGAAAAGGAAATCACCGCCCCCCCACTTGCGACTCGTCGCGGGCTATCGGTCGACAGCGATCGACTGGTTGGGCAACCCTGCTCTAACTGATGGAAACAACACTGAATTCACTACTTTCACCGTATCTGTTTTATTAAAGTGCCATTATTACCAGAAAGCCCAAAGTAAGATGGATAAATAGTCATAGTCACCAGCCTCTATATGTTTTAGTGGTAAACTACTTTCTGAACTGTGATTAGCTGTTGCCCAAAGACAGCTGCGATTGACTGCGGCACGTACGAAGAATGGATGGATGGACTACCTAGACCATTGTGAATTACCTAATTTCTCTGGACAATTTCATTTACCGTACATGAAATACAGAAGAGCAGTAAATGGTCATCAAGGACAAGATTGTAACCAGCGCAGTGAGAAAAAAAAATCGCGCAACCAGTCATTAGCTCACACCTTTATATACATGATCTTTACATACACTGGTTTTGTATCATACTTTCAAAGGCAAATTAATTTCATTGCTCACGGCAAGGACAGAGACAAGAAGTCCCATATCCGGTTCTACATTTATCATTACATGTCCTTTCTTTGCCATCACCGGTTTCAGTGATGCCAAAAGAAAAGCTGCCTGTAGATTTAACCCTTTTGATGAAGCAGTGAGCTGAAATTTTGTGAGATTTGCTGTAGTTTTGTGTGATGCCTATCATGACCTGCTAACTTTTGTTTCCCCAAATAGTTTTGGTCATATTTCAGTTTCAGGACTAAGTCGTTTTTTACTTACTATAAGACGTAAAATATGAGTGCAGCCTGCGTTCACAAAAGAAATCTTTGTGGCACTTTTGTACCCAATGTTTGCAATAAGTCCCATATTCGGTTCTACATTTATCATTACATGTCCTTTCTTTCCCATCACCGGTTTCGGTGATGCCAAAAGAAAAGCTGCCTGTAGATTTAACCTTTTTGATGAAGCAGTGAGCTGCTAACTTTTATTTCCCAAATAGTTTTGGTCAGATATCAGTTTCAGGACTAAGTCGGTTTTTACTTACTATAAGAGGCAAAATATGAGTGCAGCCTGCGTTCACAAAAGAAATCCTTGTGGCACTTTTGTACCCAATGTTTCCTTTTGGGATGAAGTCATTTTATTCTGAATTGGTGTAGAAAAGATTGCCCTTGAGGAGAAACATGAGGGATATTTTGTTCATGTGTTGCATTTGCAGTCGCGGCTGAAAGATATTTCACAAGGTTACCGCAGTAACAAATAAGATATCTAAAAACACAATGCCAGCAGATAATAAACATTAAAACTGTCTGCCAAGTGACACCATCTGCAAGGCATTTTGTTGCATTGGGCATCGTGTAAACTGATGAGCGGATGCCAGACCATCAAAACCCATTCTTGGTATGCA